TTTTTTTTTTTTCTCTTTTTGGTTGGTTTTCCATAATGGGAGACTTTGTCTAACCTTTTGTGACTTGTGAGCTGCATCAACATTAAAGGTCATTCTTTGAAATTCAAAGCATCATAAAATCAAAGCTTTTTATTAAGATCCACCATGGCATGCTCACATTATAATGTTCACTATGCTAGCTCTTCATGGCTACTAGCATACAGTAAACTTTATATGATTAGGTTGTTAGCTTGATTTTGATCCTCATTCGATAGCAAATGAAGAGCAACTTGCTATTTTTATCAACCTGTGCTCCAGTTGTTAGAGCTTTTTTGTTCCTCCTGGTTATTCCAGTAATTCCAGGTTGCAGGTACTTGTATTTGTACCAGTACTTTGTACCTAGCACTCTTGTTCCAATGATACTCAAAAATTAAAAGAATAAGGAAATTGTCTTGCAATAACCTAATCAATCTCAGAAAAAAACACACGTACACAACCAAAATAATAGATCAGTGTCTAATGATTTACAAAAACCTCAAGTAAAATCTTCGACATTGTAGAGAAAATACCTTCATCTGATAATATTCCCCTTTCTACATTCACTCACATCACTCAAATCATATATACAGTTACCATTACAGTACTCAAAGAGAGAATAAAAGCTACACAAACATTTGCTATGTTATCGAATAAAAGTAAGAAAGAGAAAAAAAAAACCCCAAGGACAGAGAATACCTGAAAACACTTCTCTTTCCATGGCATCTTTTACTCTTTATCAATTTAGCTCTGCAAAAAGTTCATTGTTCGCTCGAATGTCCATAAGATGTTTACAAGATGGGTGCCGACAATATGAAGAGAGACAGAATCTTTTTTTCCCATTTTAATGATACTTTTAAGGAGTATGCAGATTTCGCAAGTGGTCAACCACATCACACGATCCGCTCATCCTATGGTAGTCGGCCCGGTGAAGGAGATTCGCGTGGGCCCCACTAGAGTTGTTAGCTTTGGAATTATTCATAGGCGTGAGCTTGCCTGTGATGCTATAGCGCACGCGTACACGGTGACATTTGGGCTCAGTCGTGCAAGTCCCACGCACTTTAACTGCCAAAATTACTTCTTTGTCCCTAGCATCTTCGCACCAAAAGTTTCGTGGGACTCCATCGACGAATTCTTCAAATGTTTCGTATTCTTCGTGGCGTATCGATATTTCGGTAATTTGATCGGCCTCGATGATTCCAGATGCAGGCTTGACCTGTTTTTCCAGTTTTGCAACCGAGTAAAACATATATATATAGAATTTCAAAGCAAAAGATTTATAAGTTGATACAAACATCAATAAGTGTTTACTAATGTAATTCTGAAAGATGATCTAGTCATCTTGTAATAAGGCTGAACCTCACTAAAACATTTTATAACTGCATTATGATTTCCGAGCAAACTAAAAATCTAAAACGATACATATGAAATTAGCTCCCTTGTAACAAGACGTCAGCACATATATTACAATGTATAAATATGCGTGTGTGTGTGTGTGTGAAACGTTGTGCTAAACAACGCTAATTAAACAAATTGCCACTACAGTTGCTCATTTCCATAAATACGACAGGAATATCAATTATTTGTAAAAATAAAATTGATAATTACCTCAAGCCACCTGGGGAACCCGAAAGAACCTCTTGGGCGATGATCAGATGCTTGTCCATCCTCCTTAATGCTAGACACACCTTCGCAACTTATTTCATAAAAAGCTCGGTCTTTCTTGCATTTATTTGTTATCCGCAATATCGATGTATCTTGATTCTGAAGGATTACGTTGTTCGTACTGACAATTGCTTCCGGAACTTTTGATATTTCTTCTAGTAGACGCTTGATTTTCTCATTTGATCTAATGATTTCACCAAATTCTTGTCTTCTTACTGACTCATCTACCCGAGCTACCTCAACACAGAAAATGCTGCGCACGGGCTTGTGGTCGCTATCCGTAACATCCATGCAAGCTTCATACCTATTACATTATTATGTCAGAGCCTTCAAAACCACATGGTAGAAAAAATAAAACTAAAAAAAGAGGAAAACACACACACACAAAACATGCAGATGACCTGAGACAGATACAGTGCAAGTGAGGGAGGAAAGTGATTTCCGTTTGTATTTAACTAAAACGACAATTCAATTAAGGTAGCTATTTTCGTAAAGAAAGCCAATGAAGAGAACATGCAGATACAATATATACTAGAGTATAGACACCACATCCATGCTCATGAGGAGGAAAAGTTCAAGAAACCATAATAAGAATTCAAACAAATAAATAATACATGGCCAAGAAATAAAATATGAAATATAAAAAATTAAGAGCGGGAAGTATATATGGTCCAGGCACCTCAAAACTAAAAATAATTAACAATAAAACATGTAATTTCCCACAGAAAATATTGATTGATTGTTCTGGAAAACTTACTGCAATGTTGATGCGACCACAGGACAGTCTAAGCTGCAAGTTGAAACCGAAGCCGAACGGGTATCTCGATACAAAATCCTGTCGCACCAGGCGGGAATTCGTTTTTTCTCCCCGGAATCATACCCTTAGAAAGATAACCAAATCAAAATCATAGCTCCATAAGTATGATTTTATTATGACGTATCTAAGCAGAAATATCTTCACTGAAACAAAAAATGTCTCAAGTAACAAAGATACCCATGCAATCCCCACTTGTAACGTTACCTGCCAAACCGGGCTGGTGTTTTTCGAATTTGTAAGTCGGTGGAAACCTTATAATAGCTTCTCGCATTCCTTGGAAAACATTGCCGGCTTTCATTTCTGCCTGCAGCTGATCCTTCTCCCTGAGCCAGTCAAAGCATCTCTGTGAGATGAAATCACGAGCCTCATCATAAGATATGCCATCTAGCCTATAGTTGAAGTCCCCAAGAAACACAATCATGTCAGCCTCAGAAAGCTCTGGCATTCCTTCCACAGGGGTATTACCCATAGCCTGCGAAAAAAGTCGGTACACATAAATTCTTCGGCCACTGAAAGTCTATGAAGATAAAGTTGTACAATCCAGCCTCAGCTAAATATCAAATGTACAAAAACTACCCCTGATGTTCGACTTTTGTGCTCAATGTAAGTGGGTGGAATAACTGTAATAGTTTGCTAGAGTAAGATGGTATTTGAAGTGTGTTAGCTTATTTATATCTATGTAATTGTTGGTAAACTTCATTTAATTTTATTCAGCCTCAATTAATAATAATATGAGTTCATTTAATAAAAATAAGTTGCATTTAATAAAAAAAATTTTGACCTCCATCCAGAAACCATTACAACATATTTTTTCTTTTAATTTATTCCATACAATCATCCACCTATTTTTTACTATATTTTGGATTTGTAACGGTTGCATGCGATTACCATTTTTTATTTCTCTATATTTGGATAATATGGTTACGAGATAATGTTTAAACCCTTAAACTTGAATGATTAAAAATATTTTTTTAATTTGTACGTTGACTATTCACATGCAAAAGAAGTATTAAATATTGATATGCTAGAGATACAATGCAAAATACATATAAGAAAAGTCATTTTTTGTAATAGAGATCTTTACACCAGCTTATTCAAATTAAAAATTTTCATCCAAGATTGTACACTATATTAGTTGAATTTAATGAAAAATAATTAACCATTTTAATTTATATAATAAATCTATCTATCTATATATTAAAAGAAAAACCTTTTAAGGATTCCCGCCAATTTTTCCCACCAATAATATATAATCACCCGCCAATTGTCTTTCATTAACAGAGTCCTAAAACTTAGCAATTGTCTTTCCTTTTTTTTGGCAGATAGGGTAGTCAACGGCTGATTTATTGGTATTTATTGGGTAGATAGGGTAACAAATCGACTGATTTATTGGGTAGAATTTGTGATTCTCTTTCCTATATTTTGGTATCAAAATAAATATTTGTAATTATTTTTGGTATCAAAACTAATAATTTTCAAATTGTGTGTAATCAAATATTTTTAGATGGAACACCATAAATTCGGTATGATTTTATTAAATTAGACTTATAATATTTTAGATACTTGAAACAAATTGTTTAGACATTTTTTTACATATTCGTCTATATATATATATATATATACATATACACATACACATAATTGATGTTAAATTTAAATATATGTAGACATGTTTTATTTACAAAATAGTCTAAAATTTTTTTTTTTTACACAATGTTAAATTCAAATGTTTTTAGATATGTTTTTCTTCTAAAATTATTTAGAAAAGTTGTAGGTGATTTCACATCTTTCAAAAATAATATAGAAAAATTTGAATACTTTTACATATACTAATATAATATTTTAGGTGTTCTTAATATTAAACATACAAATTTTATATTCTCTTATACAAAATAACGTAAATTTTATATTCTATTATACAAAATAATTTTACATTGTTTGACCCCGAATCTTTAATTTATAATTATTAAGTATTGTTTATTCTCCTCTTTAATTTATAATAATTATTTTTTTTCCTCTTTTTAAATAGGATCAATAGTAATTTCCACTTCCGCCATTGAGTGTCTCAAACTCGAGATTTATTTATAATATTGTTAATTTAATATTGTTCCCGTGCATCGCACGGGGTGTACACTAGTATAGTGATGAATTTGGATACTTTTATGATGTTCATTTTCACTAAACAAAATTTTTAAAATGTGATACTATTATTTAACTTATAATTTTACAAGTATAACATACACGTAACTTTTAAGTTATGATAATTTAAATTTCTGTGCACATGCATAGGATCAATTTTTTTTTTTTCGTAAATTCAATAACCTGCTGGTGTTTCTGTTTCGGTTTCTTTTGTTCGTAACTAGGCTGATCACGCTAAAAAAAAAAAAACTCTAGTCAGAAATCAGGTTGCAGCATTTTCAAGCTAAGGTACTTACACTTGTAGTGCGAAGCACTTGAACTGCAGATGAAACCCCTGCTGTAATAGAAAGAACCAACAGCAAGCTCGAAACACAAACACTCGAATAGAATAACAATGAGCAAGCAAGAGAGCACCATAAAAATAAAGGCAACAACATACCAGCGGCAGCATTTATAATATTGGATGGCCTACTGAATAACATAGTACGGTATACATGATCAAAATCGGCATTTCTACGATTGACTGCCTCTAAGTGTGCAGCAAAATGACAATTCACGAAGCACATCACCCGACCATATACTCTCATCCTTAGCCCAACAGCTCCCTGAACACAGAGCATCTTAAGTTAGTACCACATGTGCGAGAAGAGAAAAACAATGTCAACCAATTCCATCAAGAACTTCCATTCCATCAAATGGATTCCAAGGTAGCTGCACAAAATGCTACCTCTTGGGCTAATAATAATAATGATGATGACAATAAACAATAATAATAATAATAATAATAATAATAATAATAATAATAATAATAATAATAATAATAATAATAATAACTATTATTATTATTAGAGCAAAACCTTATTTCCAATCGCTCGTCCCAGACCACAAGGAACTGCTGCAACATCGACATCCCCAACATGGCCCCGCATGTTGTTTCGAACCCTACAACATTGACTTCTTAATGAAAGCTTGCGTGATTACTAAACAATGAAGGTCTTAAATTGTCAAAGAAAGATGGCACATTACTAAACAAGTTTGCAAGCAGAAATAAATACTAACCACACAGAAATCAGCAACCCTGCCAACTGCCTGGAGCCAACACGTAAAAAGGTAGATCCCTCGTCCAGTGTTTTTCCAATCATATCTAGCCACCATTGCCCTGCAGAACTACCCTCAAGACCCATCTGCAAGAAATGCGGAAGTACTTTTAAATGACTGAAAAAGGAAAACAATAAACTAAATGATTCCTATGTAAAAGGAATGAGAGAGCAACAAAAGTCGTCAGTATGTTAAAACCAGGCCTCAATTCAGCTGATTCATCCGACTTCTATTTTATTTTATCTCACATCTATGGATGAGTAGCGTCGTTATGGTGGTGATATAAGGTCAAAGTTAAAATAAAACTGACGAATATATTGATTTTACATACTTATGCCTCTAAAATATGCTTGGAGTTATCATGAAAGCTAAATTTGCAAACGGCTATTTGAAAGGCTTCACTTACAAGTAAAGGGTGCAAGTAAAAAAGTTTGGTATTTTAACATGGGAAGCCTATTTAAACAGGTTGAAAAGCTTGAGTGAACACCTGGGTGGGCAGGAGAGAGAGAGAAAGAGAGAGAGAGAGAGAGAGAGAGAGAGAGAGAGAGAGAGAGAGAGAGAGAGTACAGTTTCTTTAGCAGCCGATACAGCAAGAAAACCAGCACCCATTTCCACCTCCTGCAACCCAACAACAATCACGTCAACATCCGCCGCCGACGAGCCAATCCAGGAAACAAGTGAATCAGGTCCCGCCCTTCCCTGCCCGACATTCCATGTCCCAGCCAAAATCTTCAGGTTCTCGAGCCTCGTGTACAAAAACTCCTTCCCAGCCAACTCCGCACGGAATATGCTGTCGAGTGGTCCCGGGGATGCGATGCTCCACCCACGAACGCCACCATGATTAGCCAACGTGAAAACATAGCCGGCCCCAACAGCCAAGTCAATCACGGGGCTATTATGAGCCACCCACTGCCCAAGCAGATCGCCATTGAGGTCCAAAACTTGCACTGTGCCACTCATGTATCCGACCCATATCCGTGACCCTACTGTACAGAGACTCTGAACCATGGTTGAATGGTAGTGGAAATCACGCAAGCGGTTTCCGTTGCCATCCCACTGCACTAGTGACCCGTTAGCACAGCCGATCCAAACCATACCGTCGGGTGTAGCCACTAATGCTTCAGTCCGCCGGTTATCGTCTCCGAATGCTCCTTTGCCCGCAGCTCGACGGACGGCATCAGCTGCTCCCAAAATGGCATTACGTGAGCGTTGGAAAAAACTGAAGGAGTTTTGTGTTTTATCCTTTGAGCCGAGCACAACCTTTGTCCTAATCTCGTCCTCCATAAAAGAATCAAGCGATGGGTTCTCGATTTGGCCGTCGATGTTGAACACTTTCAGTAACTCTTTTGTTCGAGCTTCCCTGTAAGATGAGATAAGTTGGAACACAAAGAAGGAATAATGGAATAGTGATACTGACTGCAGTCTCAAGACTACTTAATACATCCACAAATTTTTCACAAAGATGGGCAGTGAGGGTTTTGAAGTAATAGGAACAAGTCTCGATGAGCCTATGTACTATTCAAGTAAGCTACATAATCTCCATAAATAAGAAATTACACATAACACGATTCTACGTCTACTCTCCAAAGAATCTCCAGTCCTACTATACAACATCATGGTTTCCCCTACTTTTTTTAGAGGAATGGAAATAAAACGTACATGATGTTATCTACACCATATATCCAGTAGTTCAGCATAGAGGAGTCTCAGGACTAGCGTACAGTTTCCAGAAATGGGTACGCTCAAAATACGAAATTCATCCTCTCTGAAACAAATTTACATCTCACTATCTGTTTCTTAATTTTAGTCCATTGAGTCGTACTGCAATCAGAGAATGCTATGTTGAAGACAACATAATTTTACAGGCCCAATAACCCTGAGAAGTTCCATTGTTTATGTAATTCACAACATCTGAATATCCTCTCCACTTTCTCAAGTTCTCTATAGCAGACCCCAGATGAATACTATTGAGTACTTAGCTATGTTGACATTCATCCATCCTAATTTTCTATAACATAGGCAAATACTATAACTCTTCAAATAATAGACGAAGCAGCCAAATTCATGTCTATTAGTTTCTAATGTCTTAATGATGACTTACCACAACGCAAATGATTGATAACTGGCAGTCCACACTTTCGCCCCAGAATGATCTGATAGCATATATCTGATATCTGAAGTAAAGATATTACCACAGGCACCATTCTGGCCTACTTGGCTCTTCAGGTCAATATATGACCTCTCCACCAATAAAGAAGCCATGTGCCTTTCTCCAACAGTTAGAGAGAGCGCTTTTTCAATAGCTTCCCAAGGCCATATCTTCAGGGCACCACCCTCAGACGCGGACCATATGTCCCCTGTATTGAAGAAAAAACGTTCATGAATGAGTCACCAATATAATTTACACTTGAACTAATTAGTACTGTACTAGTGTTGGCAGTATACCATAATTTCATACCTCAATAGAAATAACTGAACACAAATGTTTATAAAATGAAAGAGGTGTAGAACACGAAGAGGAACCCAGAAATTATGAAAACAGTTGAAGAAAAAGCACTTCTACACACTTCAAATGCCACTGTCAGCAGAAATGCTGCCATTCCGAGGTCTATAGCAAATGTGAAACTTAAAAACAGAACTAAACAACTATATAAGTTCAAATCTCAGGATTACCATAAGAGCTAACAACCATAGACAGAACTGGCCCTCGATGAGCTTGCCACGAGAAAACCTCTGAAAATCCATTCCTTACATCATTTGCCCTTCCGTTCACTTTCTCACTCGAAAAATCCAACATCTCCCAACACATGATCTTCCCATCTCTATGCCCACTCCACACCACTCTATTCCCGGCATCACCCACCACACAAAGCGTGGCAGCAGCCACCTCAGCCGACTCCCAGTACTTGGCCGTCCCCTCCTCTTCCCCTTCCTCTTCCTCACCACCGTAGATAGCCTCATTCCTCAAGTCCCAAACCCTAACCCCACACTCCGATCCGGCCCACAGCTGCGGCCCGACACCATCTCTCACGCAGATGAGCCTCCTGAGAAATTTCCCCACCTGAGTTTCCCTAAGAGGGTGCGGCCTTATCTCGAGGCTCATCGGCCGGTTCGGGTGAACCGGAGCTCGGACTGGGGGCCTGAAAATGCCCGTCCCGCCGCCCGAGCCGGAGAATTCCGGCAGCGGCTGGTCGGGGGACGAGGAGGTCGACAGCTTCCGGTCCAGGAACTGGATCATGTAATCGAGCCGTCGCTGGTAATTGGAGGAGCCGGCGGCGTCTTCCTCCTCTTCGTCCGACGAGGAAGAATTGTAGAACCGGTCGAAGATCCTGGGGGCTTTCTGGCAACCCGACGCTGCGTCATCGGAGCTGAACTTCCGTCCGCCGCTCGGCGAGTCCTCGTCGGAATCGGAGCGGAAGGCGAACCTTTGGGAGTAGGAATTGAGAAGGCCGGCGTCGATCAAAGCGTCGTCGTTTTGATCATCCATGTAGACGGGAATTTAGAGGGGTTTGCGGAGAAAGAGATTTGGTTGTGCGGAGAAAAAAACGGAGAGTGAGAATTGTTGTTTTTATTGTGCTTCTCGTCAATGGAAGAAAAACGACGTCGTCGCGCAAACAAACTACCACGGGCCGGCCATGTGGAATAATGTCAAACTATTCACTCCTGAGAGATTAATTTATGCAATTATTATTATGAGGATGAGGATTGCGTTGACGTTCAACTATCAACCCAGTGGAAATTTAAATAAATTATCAAACTATCTTGATGAATTTTAAGATATGATATATTATTTGAGTTTGGTGAGGCTCTAAGTTCAGGTAAATGCTAAGGTCTCGGAACTATTCCATCGAAATTATAATTATTAGATCATCATATAACTAACCAATTTCGCAACGGGACCTTAACATCTTCATTCTTTCATTTCTTTGGAAAGCCATCCATAAATAGTGTTCAATACTAATATGTCGAATTTATTTTTCTAAGTTTGTGGCTTTAAAAAGCTGCGATTGATTGATGTGGCACCAGACTAAAGGAAAAATGATAGTTATCAAAATTGTTAGTTGGAATATGGAGAAATTAAGATAACTTGTACAAAATGATTACCCTCAATTTTTATTTTTATTTTTTTTATTTTTTCCAAATTTAGACAATGTTAGGTGTAGAGATCATTTCTAAATATGGCCATACTTCTTTGGATAACATTTGGAATAAATTAGGTCACGAAAGCAGAGCCGACCCATATGCTAATGTTCTTCTTCTAAAATGGAAAATTCTATTTCAACTTTCAACCCATTGGTTTTGATTCTAATATATACCTTATAATATATATGGTGTGAGTGTGACCATACAAATTTGTTAACCTTCATTAGTTCTTTTCTCTCAAATGGAAAATTGTATTTAATTCACCTGTAGGATTTGATTCGAAATGCATATACGACCACCATACGAAATAATGTCAGTCTTATTAATTACAAATCTAAGATTTAAACATCATTATTTTGATACACGAGATTATACTGAGCGGTTAATAAATTAGTCTCATCTCTAATATGATAAACGTATCTTCAGACCAATGACTAATTTTAAATGTTTTATAATTGATGGAATTTGATTGCTTTGAAATCAATTTGATATGTAGTTAACGTTTTTTTATCCAATTAATCTATGAAATAATCTACTTGTGTCTTTGTGTTGGCTGGTTAATACATATTGTGCCACACGAAATTTAATAAATTGCCACAAATTAGCTCTATCTGCAGTTTTCAGCCCAGAGAAAACGAAAAATCCAATCTATATTTGAAAAACAAATTAATTAACCCAAAAAAAAAATGTATTTGGGATTTTGAAAAATTAAAAGAAAAACTGCAATTTAATATTTAATATAATACTGCTGATCATACTACTGATGACTGATTTAACCTAATTATAGCATCATAATAATACAACCAAACTGAGGAACAACAATATATTTGACAATAAAACAAAGAAAGCAAAACCATCTAATTATATAGCAAATCCATGTAAAAAGTGAACTATTAAAGCACCACAAACAATTGCAATCCAGCTTGAAGACCATAACTCGGAGCTAATAGAATTCGGAACCAAATCGACCGATCGTCTGTCGGATGTACCTAGAAGCACATTCATCGATCAATCAATTTATTAAATTAATTTAACGTATTCAAATACATTTTATTTTAAAAAAAATATATATATTTTAATTCTACTCACCAGCAATGCACCCTAGCGGATTGATATAATGACCACATCTATTGGGCAACTCTTGAGCTAATCTCGAGACATTATTGATGCTCGATTGCTCGGCTAGCTTACCACGCACTGTACTCAACAAGCTGCACAGACACTCGGGTATTGACTTGATAACGTAATCGAGAGGCCCACAACAACTGTCGAGAGGTTGGCTCGTCTCGTTGTTGAGGTATTTTACACAAAATCGAAGCTTGTTCGTGCATTGTTGGAATTGCGCGTCGTTTTCTATAGCTAAGCATGAAAGTGAGATGAGTATTGCTAGGAATCCACTTAGCAAAACCTTAAGTTTTTTCATCTTATAATTAGCTTCTTATGATCTTCTACTTTGTAGCTAAATTTTGTTGGTCATTTACAATGTAACGGATTTAATTATTTAATTAATAAGGAGTTTTGAGTTGCTTTGGTGGGAGTTGGTTATCAAACTAATTAAGGCATATTAAATGTTTTGTGGGTGATTTTAGTCAACCATTTTGGATTCAGATGTGACCTTTTGATATGGTTGACCTAATTTTATTACAGGGTCCAAAAATGTTAAATGGGCCTCAAATGCAGGCACTACAGCCTAACAGAAGAAGCCCGATCTATATGTGCTAATCCAAAAATGAGCCACAATTAAGCCCATTTTATAGGAAAGCGATGATGTATGTAACTTTCACGAACGCTAGCTAGTTCAAATGATAAGAATTATAACCATCACCATCCAAATTATGTTCAAAGTATATATCATGAGACGGATCAAAATTTTAAATTTTGCAATTTTTTGTTAAAAACTACACTACTTAATTGAGACCTAAATACGCCTCTACCGCAATTTTATTCACTCTACCAATATTTATCTTAATTTTGTTTTTGTCTTTCTTAAAGATGGTAGAGAGTCATTTTGCCACAAAAACAACATATACAAGTTTGTAAATGATGAATGTAAGGTGCAATTTTCTTATATATATTTCCTTACAATTTCAGAACGCGCGAAGCCTAAGTGGCAGTTTCGCACGCTTCGTAATCTTACGCGCAAAATATTATGTTTTGTAATATGGCTTGGATAATAAAAAATTTCTATAGAGCCATCGGATGGTTTTCTTATGGAGCCACCTATCATTTAATACATTGACACATGTCCAAATTGTATTTATTGTAGGACACGTGTCAATACACTATTGGTGAATAAGTGTAGATTGCTCCATAAGCCGAGCCATCCGATGGCTCCACAGCAAAATTGTCTATAATGTGCATATAATTTTACTTTTCAAATTATGTGCTTTGTTCATATTATTTTTTTCATGTTTTTTAAATAAAAAATTATAAATAAAATTAATGATGTATAAATTAGTTTTTAGAATTTAAAATAATATTGTTAATTTATTTAATTATTTATTATAAGTTGTTATATATTGTTCTTTATTTATTTTTTCCAACATCAACAAAATATATATTTTTATTGTATATTTAATTATTTTAGCAATCATTCGTGTAGTACACAGGTATAATACTAATATAAATAAACTTTAAACCTAGTCAAAGGTAACTTGAAATATTAGACACCTCAACATAATCTGTGCGACCATTTTCAATATCTCGTTAATTAAAAACTAGAGTTCAGCTCATTCAACTGATAAACGAGCCAAGTCTTTTGAGTCGTCTTTTTAGAGTTTGAAGCTCGAATTTGAATATTAAAAGTTCGAGCACGACAAAACTCGTTTACACTACTAACTTAACATCATTAAATGTTGCACGCTTCACAAATCACATACCAATTTGCATATCCATTTGCTTTAACCACAATTACACCTAAATGATCAACTTGAAAAACCCTAAAACAATGACTTACTTGAAGAGCACCAAACCCTCACACTCGAAATAAAAGATGAAAAAAAAAAGAACATATTCCACCACCATCTACACCCCCTATATTAATTACTACACACATAAAACACCACAAAAACCAAAGACAAAAATAATAAAAAATGAAAAAGAAAGAAAGAGAAAAAAACATGCATTAATAGGAAAGGTCATGTCACGACACTAGACAACTCGCTCTCAAATCCCTGCAATCTGTAATCTGTAAGATAGTCATAGTGATTATACTTATACCCCTCACCCACCCACCCCATCACAATAATTCACTTCCCTATTTATTTATTTATTTTTATTCCTTTTGCCTCACACACAAACACACACTCACACACACATATATTCTTGCAAAGAGATGTACAGGTTGTGATTTGAGCTTTTCTAATTTACCTTACATAATTTTCTTTTCCTGTATAATTGTCCGGTTCGTTTCGTGTTAGACCGACATACTCTTCTTGTAGATATACATATTTGCTTTTGAAAAATGTCGTACTTTACAAAACAATATAAACAAAAGTGACATTTGATAGTATAAACACACACATTTTCTTGTCCAAATGGTATGACTAGTCGACCCCTGTAATGATCACACTGTCCCGCACAAGAATTTGTATTAATTGGGGGAAATTACAGCTTTGGTCCATTATTTTAGGGCGTGTCCCATTTTTGTTCAGTAATTTATTGGAGTCTGAAATTGATTTAATAACTCTTAAATTTTAGTCAATTTGCTGCAATTTCGATCCCAAACGCCGAAATCCGACAGTTATTAATTTGGTCTGAAATTGATCCAATAATCCTTACATTTTAGAGTTATTTGACAAAATTGACTAAGATTTAAAAAATATTGGACCAATTTTGGAGCAAAATAAGTCAAGGGGCAAAAAATGGGAAAGTTAATGACTAAACTACAATTTTCCCATAATAATTGCTAATTTTTATTTTTATTTTTATGTCGCTGTTTATATATATATGATATGATGATTTTCAAATTTTCTTTCTAGTTTATATTTTCCGGTCCTTTATTAAAGTTTTAACCTTATCTGCATAATTTTCTCCCCGTCTCCATAGCCTCTAGTCTTGGGGGAATTTCCTCCGCCTTCATCTCTCTTAAAAACACTCTCTTTATCTCTCTCTCACACGCACACAGTGAAAACACACACTGCCCTCTCTACTTAATAATTTCTCTCTCTAGCATCTCTCTTTCTCTCTCTCTCTCTCATATGATATAATAAGGGTTTTGCTTCCTTCCTTTTATTCCGCAAGCCACCATCTTTATATGTACTTCCTTCCCCTAACTCTTCCTTTCTTTTTGAGCTCTCTCTCTCTCTCTCTCTCTCTCTCTCTCTCCCTCTCTCTCTCGAAAAGATCTCACCAGCTAGCAGCTCAAAGAAAGGTCCCTTTTGCATGATTCTTGAAAAAAAATAAAAATAAAATCTGGAGGCATAAAAAAAAAGATTTTTGTCATCATCATCAATATTAGCTTGTTACAAACTAAAAAGGGTCAACTGTTCAACTCTCTCTCTCTCTCTCTCTCTCTCTCTCTCTTTGTTATTCTCTCTGTCAGCAAAAGAAGAAAAAGGAAAGTAGAAAGAGAAAGGGAAGCTGCAAGATCCAAATTAAACTTGTGTGTTTTGAATTTTGATCTGTATTGTCAAAACTGCACGCCAGCCAACGAGAGAGACAAACTGTAGAGAAAAAAAGGAAAGCTGTGAGAGAGAACGAAAAGAAGAAAAAAAAAAAATAATAATCAGGTTTTGACCGCAGAAATCGAGGCACGTTGAATTTTCCAGAAAGAAGATAAAAAAAAAAAGGGAGAGAATTACAGTCCGTTTTAACAGACTTTTATTCTGTCTAGGTATGTATATCTATTTTCTCTATTTCATTTTTTGTGTCTCTTTATATATATATATATTAATATTGCTTGTGTGTAATGTAGTGTTGTTTCATTTTTCACACTGCACACACTTTATGCAGTTTTCGTATACATATATATGTACACAATTTGCTTGTGTGTGTTTGTGTGTGTGTGTGTGAGAGTCAAAATAAAAATATATAGTACTATATATATATATATCCATCCTACTTGAAAGTGCTCTCTCTCTCTCTCTCTCAGAAGTCTCAATTTTTCTCAGGTAAATGAAGCAATCTCTCTCTATATATCTCTCTCTAGATCTCTCTCATCTCCCTCCCTCTCTCTAGATCTCTCTGGTTGTTTGTCTGTGTATGCATATATATGTGTGTAAGTAATTTTCATAAAACTTTATAATTTGTTCACTCACTCACTCACCCACATGTGAGAAGGAATGAATTTTAAGCAAACATCTGCCTAGCTAACAACACTTGTTACATAGATATTAGTGGCATAATTAATTAAGAAAAGTAAATATATATAATAATTTAAAACTCTCACTTTCACCAGATCCAATTCCAAAAATCTCCCCCCTTTTTTTTTCCAATTTCTCTTTATTCAATTTTTATATGAAATGAAAAGTTGTTTAGGGTTTAATTGGCTAAAAGTAGAGGGGTTAAGCCCAAAATATATATATATATATATATATA